CCCCCCCCCAAATGGAGAGGTACTGCATTTTTCAGGAGGCCAATCTTTTGTCAAACTTCTCAATAACCCCACTCCAGATTCCTTGTGATTTGTATGACGCTAGGTATGCAGTGGAAAAGGATCCCACACTACAACACATTACATCGGATAGCTCTTCCAGATTAGGAACATCATTGAAAGGATAAATTATGCTTTTTGACTTGTTCATTTGTAAACCTGATATGGCTTCAAAAATCATAAGTGTGAGGTTCAGGTACATTACTTGTGATCTCTCAGCCCCACAGAATATGAGAGTGTCATCTGCATAGAGAAGATGTGAGACTGAGATTGAATTATGTGCATCATTCCCCACCCTAAATCCTTCCATCCAGTGCAGCTGCTTTGCTTTGTCAATCATTTTGCTAAGACCCTTCATAGCTAGGATATATAGAAATGGAGAGAGAGGATCACCTTGTCTGAGACCTTTTTGAGGAGAAAAGAAACCAACAGGCCCACCATCGATCAAAATAGAGTATTTAACTGTTGCAATACTAAATTTGATCCACCTAATCCAGACTTCTCCCAAATCCATTTTCCTCAAAACAGTGATGAGATATGACCAATTTAGTTGATCGAAGGCTTTTTCAATAGCCAATTTGAACAGAAGACCAGGCTGCCTTGATTTCAACTTCCAATCCAGAACCTCATTAGCTAACAATGCTGCATCTATGATCAGTCTTGATTTGATGAAAGCATTCTGATGTCCCGATACCAACTTTCCTTCACACCCTTCAACCTTTCTGCTAGGATCTTGGAAACAATTTTTTAGACACGGCCAATTAGACTGATTGGTCTATAATCTCTCAGTTCCACAACCTCTTTCTTTTTAGGGACTAGGGCTATGAATGATGCATTACATAATCTTACCATCTGGCCGGTTTGGTGGAAATGTTGGATAGCACTCATAATGTCATGTTTGATTACGTCCCATGTTTTTTGATAGAATGCCATAGTATACCCGTCTGGGGCTAGAGCTTTGTCTGGAGCACTTCCTGTGATTGCTTCCAGTACCTCAGACTCCTCAAAAGGTCTTTCCAGCCTTTCTCCCCCTCTGTGATTGATGCTACATCATCCGGTCTTCGTGTTAACCTATTGTTGTAAGTCAAATTGCATTGACGGGTTGATAAAATTTTTACATGATAGGTTAAATTGACTTACAACAATAGGTAAATCTTCATGGCAAGCCTTATAGTAACCTATGAAATACAATAATATCTTGCTGTACTCGGTTAAATTGAACATCTAGTGTAAATATTATTTACAATGTCAGTGTATATAATTTAAATCTTGTTTTTAGCTTAATTCTAGTTATTTACATATTTTTGACTAGCTTAATTATTTTCTTCTCCTATGAATGTTTTATTCTCTTTCAGGTGATTACTTGTTTGTACGAGAGTATAGAGGTATGTCGTGAATACAATTTAATGGCCCCTTTTCCCCTGGGTGAAATTTAATGCACGAAATTATGATTATTGTTATTACAAAGAATGAAGGTTATGCATTATGGTGAAAAGCTAGCCTTCTGCGTAATCTTTGGTGGGCAGAGTTACGTGGTAACTGTGCTGATGGGAGGTAGCAGATATCTAATGGAATAATGAAGGTTCCCGCAAGCTAGCCTAAACACCACCTTCGTAAATAAATAAATTAATAGAAGAATCTAAAGACGTGTACAACTTATTGCTATCAATCATCTCGGTTCGTTTAGTAATAATTGTTGTGCTTGTTTAATCGGCAGTTTTGATGAATCTTCCTAATCTCAAGCATCTTTGATTTTGTTCCATTAGTGCTAGGGCTTTGGTCTGTTTGATGTATCCGTTTTAAAACACTACAAGCATAATCTTTACTTGTGATTGAATACTTATTCAATTGATTCTCTTGTTAAGTGTTACTATTGATTAATAGCCTGTCAAATACATGGTTTGTGTCTGTGATGTCTATCTATATCAGGTATTTCTATTTCACAATATGCTCAACTGATGTTTAGCTTTTATCCCTAAAGAAACAGTAGATCAGGCATGATGCTTCTTGCTTAGAGAGAGTTTGAAGAATACTAGCGTTTAGATGTTCTACTCTATAATATCATGATTCATTATCAGTTGGAACTCGGAATATTACGGAAATAATCAATGCCAAGTCCTGCCTACTCTTGCTTTCTTCATGTTTCATGTGTTATCTCTTCTCCGTCAAAGGAACTGAAAGAAGTCTATTTTACTTCATATCCTCAAATTGCATGCCCCCCCCCTTAACACACACACTAAAAGGAAGAAAAGGAAAATTGATACATGAAATGAATCTTTAGTTTGTGTTTAATATATTATAGTTAAATGCACTGTGCGTTTTTTTGAAACTTCTTATTAAATCTTCATTCCTTCTCAATGTGACCAGGGCTCATTTGGATAGTAATTCTTATTTGTGGCTATGTTGCTCGGACTCTCCGAAAATGTGGCCGGATACGTGTCGGATCCTCCAAAAGTAGTACATTTTTGAAGGATCCGACACGGGTGCGGCTACATTTTGGAGAGTCCGCGCAACATAGATTTGTGGAAAGAGAATACAGATAGAGTGTCTCTCCATTTTTGTTTTGTTTAATGACCCTGTTATTGGGTTTATTTTTGTTGTAGTTATAATGCTATTTCAAAGTATTATTCCATGTTTACTAGTGAACTTATAGAATTTTGAGGAGCTTCTCATTATTGAACAGATATGAGTTGACTATATCAAATATATTATTTGTTAGATTTTGTTATTCTCTCCTTTAATTGGAAGGGCAATGTTGAATTGTCTGTTTCAAATGTTGCAGGATGAATTTGAGTCTTTATGCGAGGAGACATAGGTACATATCATATGCTTCTTAGTTTATTAAAGTTATTCTGAGAAAATATGCATCCTATTTCTGGAGAAGTAAAAATTGAATATACCTTACATAATAAATACTCCCTTTGCTGCTTCAAAACTAAGCATTCTGCAAGATCTACTCTACCTTCTCACTTCTACTAAAACATCTTTCAACTTCTAATAAAATATAGTTTTGAAAGAAAAATTCCAAAAATTATGATTAAGTTTAAACGTGAAATTTAGTTTTCTGTCCCTCAAGAGCGTACTTATCTGTTTAGCTGACAGCTAAATTAGATTCTCCTGGCGTCCATATTGTAAGGTGAATGAAAGAATAATGATTTGCAAAAGTTACACCCCCAGTCTATGAGGACTGCCAAGTGCCAACTGGTCTTCAGTTGACCACAGCACTAGTAACTTTTCAGGATGTGTACTTCTCGACCGAGATATAAGTTCTTGCACTTGCTCCTCTTCCGGACAAAATCTGAAGATAATAGAGCATTACTGAGGATTGTATATTGTAGAAAAGAGAAGTTCTTAGAAAATATCTACCAATTTACGTCTAGATTATCAAATGTGCTTTCCTAGAAGTCTCTCTCATTGTAATGTTGAGATTTTAAGATAAAGCTTTGCTTTCATATGGATCAAGTGTAAGCTGACCTCCAGTTAGAATTTCATTAACTGTGATCATTTATTCTATTATGCCTGATGAGAACAAAGGTTCCATGTATTGGAAACTGTTTGGGAAAGCTCTGCCTTGTAAAACCTAGTTATGCCATTGGAGAAGAGATTCATAAGAGAGAAGGAAATTAACTGTATGAGAATTTTTAAAGAAGGGGCCATAAATTTCCTTAAAAATTCTTTGGTTCCCTCATGTATTCGTTTGATTATGTAACTTATTGCGCATGCAAATCGATATTGTAGAAGACAGATTCCAACAAGTTAATTATGTCCACATTTCACTTGACTGAATTCTTTTATTAGGAAAAATTGCATTTTTCAATACCATTTCTTTTGATATGATGTTTACCCGGAATGCTTATGTGAGTTTTGATTATTAAGTTGGAATAATGTGTGTGATATGGTTTTCCTTGGTATCGTGTTTCCTACTTGTAGGCAGGAGCAACTCTCAACATGGTGGAGGAGCTTGTGGAAGAACAACGGTTGGAAGAAAGCTTGAACTCCTTGTTTCTGGAGAAGTATGCTTACTTCCATTATTTAAAATTGCATAAGCAGGATTAGAATGGTTTTCTTCTACCCACTATTGTTTTAGAAAAAGCTTTCTGGAATTCTATTTATCTGTTTTGGTCACATCACGTGAAGGAAATCCACTCTAGATGATAACTGGACCTGCGCATATGAGCTAAAAAACTGTGACGAACATCCTTAGTGCTATAGTAGTCTTTCTTGTTACAAGTGACATAGAGTACTAAGTTTTTTGAGTCCTCTTCAAACCCATGCATATATCCTGTGGTGTAACAAGAAAAATGACCTTCTAGGGAAGGATTTGTGCTGTAGGTGTATCTGAAGAACAGACACTTGTACACTATAATTTGCATCAAAATTGTCTAGATACTTTATAGTTTATACTTCTGCTTCTCTGGTTTTGGTTCCTCTTCTCATCTTCTTCTTCCCATGCTACCTCTGAACTGTCTTGTTAGCTTTTATACTTTGCCAAGTGCAGTACAAAGCTTTTATACTTTGCCAAGTGCAGTACAAAGCTTTTATACTTTGCCAAGTGCAGTACAATCCACTAGCGCAACTTTAATACCTTAATAACTTTACAGTTTGCACACCACCATGACAGTCAAAAGATGTATTGACTACTGATTTTCCAATTTCTCAAAGGATTTGGCCTGAAAGAGAAAGTTTAAGTAGAAGTTGAATCATATCTTATTATAACTCTTTAAACGCGAGGAAATAAACGAAAATGTAGCATTGATTTTCTGTAGTGTAGAAGCTATTTGTTGATGGTGAATGTACCGATTCACTATTAGCACAATAGTTATCTTCCACAGGCTATTCTTGATTTCTTGAAATTGGAACTGGACTTCTTTTGTGAATTTCCATGTTATTCAATAGATGGACTTGTACATTTGTCATGTGTATCACGAAGGCATATGGTTATGCATAGATTTTCAAAGTATCTCTGAATATAATACATATCCTTGGGACAACTCTTAAGGTCGTAAATGTCTAGTGCATGCTAGATATTGTGTGGTCTGGATGGTCAACTGAAAAACATGGACTACAAGCTCCGGAAAAGGAGAAACGAGCAGGAAAAAGCATTCTCGTTTCACTACCAATAGGTATAGATAGTAATATGTAATTCTATGTAAAGGTATCGTCATGGTGGATACTGCATATCCAGATACTGAATTCTTAATTAGTAAAACTAAAACATACAATTCAGTTTATATCTGTCTATTATGCAAACTTCTTCATGGTTCTTTAAATGAGAGAATGTTGATGGTTGTTGAGGCTTTTGATACTATTGAACAAGACTTCTATTTTTTTAAGTGTTAGTATATTTACTTTCGGTCCTAATGCTTCGTGGAGTCTTATATGCCTGTGAAAATATAGCGAACTTCTAGTAATAGCTAGTCATTTTGCAGGAGTAATACTGAAGAAGTCATGATGCACTACCTATCTGAAGCCAAAAAGGACGAGATCAGTGATTTGATGGCTATGTTAGAGAAGGTGGTCTCAGTCATTTTCTTACTCTTGTAAATGAAGAGCTAATGCATCATTTTTCACAAGATGTGCATATCATCTTTTTTCTTATTTAAAACTAAAATTTCCTCGACTAATTGGTTGACATCCTAAAATGATTTGTTAGGCAGAAGAATAGAAACGTGCCGTCACTTCTCTTCTTGAAGCCCCAAAGAAAGAAAGGCATAGTGCTATTGCAGAATTTAGAGAGGCAAATACCTGAGAAGCCTGCTTAGGCTGTTTGATAAAGGCAAGTCTTTCTGGAATAAACCTTGGACCATGCACCCTTTTTTCCATTGATTCAAAGAATTGAACCTTTGCCCTGTGCTCGAGTACAATCTTTTGTGGAGTTACTATGGTGAAAAGAAAGATATCAAGTGTCCAAGATTTTTTTTTTAAAAAAACAAACAAATAGTCATCTCCGTGACATCTACGAAGTAATTGATCGATGATATTTGCAGTTCCAGCTTTCATTGGTTCTGCTTCTGATTTTGTCTAAGGTGCGAGTTAAATTAAATTCTGTGTCTGAACATTTTTTGTACTGTTTTCTGAACGTGTTGCTGTATATTTCTCGCATGTTCTCCCCGTGATAAGATCTTTGTATTGAAGAGATAATTGGATTTTCTGTTGTTTTCTATCAGTTGTAAAGCAAAATGGACCAAGGTGTAGTGACTTCTTATCAGTTATTTTCCCTTTTTTCCTTTCTGAAAATTGGTGATTTCTTTTGGAGTACTACAAATTATGAAGTATATGCTCTCGAACTAGGATTCAGAATAAGTTGTCACCCCAAACTATTAGTTGCAATTACTTAACAAGCATTTATTGTTGAGGATTGTTTTGGAGTTAGTTTATCATTGGCCTTTATTTAGAAGAAAAAGAAAGGGAAAGGGGAAACACAAGAAATAAACTCTCATCTCTGGAACAGTAGTTATGATGTGAATGTGAAGAAATATTGGTCCATTCATCCATGTTAAGATATATTGATCATGTTATAATCATTTATGCAGATTCACAAGGACCTAAGCCTAGTAAAGGGCTGAATACATATGCGGCCTGTACTGAGTTTTGTTCCAATTGAACACTTGGACCTACTCACAAGTGTGCCTATTGAACACTTATTTGACAATCCTACACAAATCAAAGCGCGTGCATGCCACTTGCTATTGACATATCAAATATAACCAATCAGAAAAAGACACGTCAATTACGAATAGAAAAGTTAAAATTTCAAGAAAACGAAGAGAGAGAAACATTGACCGGAAAAGAATTCTGGCGAATGTTCATCTTCTCCAATTTATTATTTCTCATTCTCATTTTGTTGTCTTTCTTCTTCCTCTTGAAATGAAAAATCAAATCTGCTGGAAAGTAAGTGGGAGTAAACTGCTACCGCCCTCCAATCCATTTTCAATTCTTCAACCACCTCTGCAGATTCTCGAATTTATAAAATGCATCTTCTGCAGATTTTTCTTGTACATGCCAATGGTAACTAATAGTGATGCTACTGATTTGATTCTAACTTGTTCTTCACTTGATCAGTTACAAACTACACTAAAGTATCCTAATTGCTCACTTCAATTTGACTTATTTCTCTCGAGCTATGTTAAAAAATTTCTGTTCCATCTCTAATCTATGATATTCAGCTCATTCAAGTGGCTTGATTTTAATTTCTCGTGGCCATAACACTAGGCTTAATTACTTTCTAAAGCAAAACCCTAAGATCTCGCCGGAAAGTAAAGAGGGGAAGTAGCCGGGCGTAGAGTGGTGGCGACAGATAAGAAGGGGAAAAGATAGAAAAAATTTATAAATGATAAATTAAGTCTTTTCACTCTCTAAATAAGAGGTGTGATACACTTTGTCAAAGACATTGTTAATAAGGTATTATGCTGCTTACTGATTATCTCATTCAAGTAACGGTGATATGAATATCTCAGCTTAAAGTACTTTCTTATTTTTCTTCCTTGGATCCCTGACGAAAACAGTTCATTATTGCGCATTCTTCAGATAAGGACGGGGAATCAAGAATCCGGTACAGGCAACAATATCGACTTCCAAAATTAGTGACTAGTTTTAGCTATTGTTGTATCTTCCTTAGTTCGTGCTCTCGAGAACCTGGGGTGGTCTACGAGTGAGAAAATTGCAATGCATATATAAGCAAAATGTGTTCTATTTTAATATATACCTTACAATAGTTTGCACACCCTTGACACAATTGTAGGTTCGAATTTCAATGCAATCTTTTGGTACAACCTATTTGTTTTATATTATTATATTTTCAAGAAACAATATAAGTGTAACCTTCGCATCCACGTTTTCCTTTCCAAAGTAGAAGTGTCGTTCTTTTCCAAATCCCAACCAACCTTTGACTTTCTTTTTCTTTTTAAATTTTTCAATAAACAAATACTACATTAAAGATCATTATTTAATTGAAAGTTACTTAATAAAAAATTCTAAAAGCAGACCTAAACCTAACTTTTTGTCAAAATAGAAAGAAGAAACATAGAGAAACAAAAGAATCCCTTGTTTTTTGCCTTGCTAGCCTGGTGTGTTATTGTCGGATGTCCGTGAAATCTTACACTCTAACTCTGAATCTATTCAATTTCTGGTTAGACTCTTCTGTCTTTCTCTTATTCTTTTTTTTTTTTGCTCAATTTATAATCTGAATTTTATTGTTAGAGTCTTTAGAGATTGAAAATTTACTAAATACTTTTAAATCTCTTAAACAGTTTACAACTAGAATAAAATAATTGATACTTAGATTACCCGATTCATCATTCCTAAACATATATTTGTTCTTTAAAAAAGAAAATAAGAAAAAAATTGGTGGATGTGTATACGAATTTGGGACATAGTTTGAATTTTCAGATTTTGATTTTCTTCGTTCATTATATTATAAAGGCATTTCACATGGCACGAGTTGGAGACAATAGAAGTTAATTATGAACTTCTTCTATGATGATAGTTGTCTGAAAGGATACTGATTAGGAACTATTTGATTTTTAACTGTCTCATTCATAATGCCTAAACTCATATTTAAGAAGCAAAACTTGTATATTGTTCTTGGATCCTGCTAATTAAGCTGGAGTGGTGGTAAGGTTTAGCTTTTTTGACTTGTGTAGTATTACAATGAGTACTTACGGTGCTTTTTAATAGATTTTCTTTCTATTTCTAGTAAGTGTGATGCACTTGACTATTATTTCAGTTTGATTTGAAGTTTCAATGGACTTGAGAAATTTTTTTAGTAAGGTACCAAAAATAAGTTTAACATCTCAAAATCAACCTAATCGAGAAGAAACTGTAGACCAATCAGAAATATCGTCGCATTCTGGTCAGAGATAAAAACTTGATTTAAATTCTATAAATTATGATCCAGCTGAAAGAATTCCAATTTTGAATTATCATCCAAACCATCGTGATGAAATAAGGAGGGAATACCTTCGAATTGATCCTTGCCAACCTCGGAGTCATGACTTCCTTCAATCTGACTTTTGAGGATCAAAGCATCATTTTCTTTCTAAATGGTTTGATGATTATGGTGACTGGTTGGAATATAGTGAGTACAGATGCGACATATTGTTTGCCTTGTTATTTGTTTAAAGGTGATAATATTCATCAAGGTGGAGGTGATGTATTTTCAAGTAAAGGGTTTAGAAATTGGCATAAGATCAAAGACAACTTTTCAAAGCATATTGGTAGGTCGAGTAGTGTTCATAATCAAACAAAAAGAAATTATGAAGATCTAATCCAACAACAACATTCCATTCATGCTGTATTTGACAAACAATCTGATCAAATGAAATATGAATATCGGCTTCGCTTAAATTCTTCAATTTATGTGGTGAGACTTCTCTTGAATCAAGGATTGGCACTCCGTGGTCACGATGAAAAAGTGAATCGTCATTGAATAGAGGTAACTTTCTTAAAGTTCTTTCATGGTACCGAGATAGATCTGAAAAGATTAAGCCTTTTGTATTGCAAAATGCTCAAAAAAATAATAAAATGACTTCTCCATACATCCAAAAAAAAATTGTGACTGCATGTAAGATAAAAATAATTAAGGCTATAATAGAGGATCTAAATGGTGACTGTTTTTCTTTATTAGTTGATGAATCTTTTGATGTGTCACGAAAAGAGTAAATGGCTTTAAGATATGCTGATAGAAAAGGATTTGTGATAGAAGCATTTATTGGACTTGTTCATGTTCCTGATACCAGTGCTTTATCCCTGAAGAAAGCAATTATTTGATTCTATTATTGATGTACTTGATACTCTTGTTGAAGATTCAAGTACTTTAGATGAAAGAGCTAAGGCACCAGGATATTTTAGAAGTTGCCAAATGTTTGAGGTTGCTTTCATGTTGCATTTTATGAAAGATATTTGAGAATCACATATGATCTTAATATATCGCTTCAGAAAAAGGAGCAAGATATTGCTAATGCCATGATACTTGTTGAAGTAGCAAAACAAAGGCTTCAAGAGTTAAGAGTTAATGGATGAGATCCACTTAAAAATAAGGTATCTACATTTTGTATCAGGCATGATATACTGATACCCAATTTTGATGAGTCATATGCTAACTCTGGAAGATCACGACGCAAACTTGTTGATCATACTACTTTACATCATTATCGTGTGGATGTATTTTATAAGATTATTGATTGGCAACTTCAAGAACTTAACGGTTGTTTCAATGAGGTGACAAGGGATTTGTTTCATGGAGTAGCTTGCCTGAATCCAATTTATTCATTTTCTAGTTTTTACATCAGGAAGATAGTGAGAATGACTAATTTATATCCTGATGACTTTGATGAATTTAATTTGGGTGTCCTTGAGAATCAACTTGCTAATTATATTGTTGATGTACGTGATATTGATCAAAGGTTCTCCAATTTAGGTGGACTTGGTGAACTTTCAAAAAAACTAGTTAAGACAAAGAAGAATATTACTTATCCTCTTGTATTATGCTTAGTGAAACTTGCTTTGCTTCTGCCAGTTGCCACTGCAATCGTTGAAAGAGCTTTTTCTGTAATGAAGTTTATCAAGAATGACTTGCGTAATCGAATGAATGATGAATTTTTGGACGGCCGCATAGTGCCTTATGTAGAAAAAAAGTATTTCGTACTATTTCTAATGAGGTTATTATAAAAATATTTTAAGAGATAAGATCTCGTCGAGTACAATTATAATAATATATTTAAATTATGCTTGCAGTAGTAATATTTTTTTTGTTGATTCCTTTATATTGGTTTTGATTTATACAATAGTTAATTCTGTTAAAGTGTTTTTATGATTTAGCTAAATATTGTGTATTTTATTATAAAAAAATTCGGTGCACCCATTCATAAAAAAATTATTTATTTATCCAACGATTGAACACCCTTCGTAAAATTCCTAGCTACGCCACTACCTAGGTTAAAGTAAAGGCTACAAGACCTGTCAATTCAGAGTAGTACCTGTAAATCTAAAGGAAACTATTAGCAGTGCTTTCAATTTCAAGCAAGACACAATGCTCGTTTGTGTCTTGGATATCCTTTAATATGATAGATTATGTTTTAATGAATATGTAATACTTTTTCAATTTGAAATTTATGGTTTCAGTATTCTAATCCTTTTAAATTAATAATTAATAGCTTAATATAAATTCATACATATTCAATAAATTTTTAATACAAATACCTCTACCCCTGCAATAGTGTGGGGCCGAACAAGGAATGTTGCCCTTTTAACTCTTTCCTGTATTTGGCTTCCCCTGCATTGCCTTGTTTAGCCTTGTCCTACTCTTTACTGCTATATTAGATTTTAAAGTTAACTATTTTTTCATTTATAGTTTCTTTACCTTTTTATTATTTTCAAAACATTTCTCATATGTTTACCAATCAATAGCCGAAGGTGACGAGAAAAGTTTTATTTTTTTTGAAGTAAAACTTTTTATAAGATTGTTACAATTCAACTCATCTCCGTCCACTAAACAATGCAGAATGCAAAGAAATCATATAACCCTTCTACATCCACAATCTAACTTAGACGGCGAACTGGCAATTTTCATCTTTTGCATTCAATCTTAGCGGTATATAATTTTGAGAAATTTTCAGAAACTACTATTGTGTAGTGACTATTAACTTTCTATAGCTACCATATATATAATTATTTCCTATAGCTACTATTTAGTTGTTACGCTAGTGTATTCGCGCTACTGTATTCATGAATACAGTAGCGAAATTCGCCTAAAAAATAGGGGAGTTCAGTTGTGCGACTGTATTCTCGCTACTGTATTCATGAATACAATATACATTGTAATCGTTTGTATACATTGTATTCAATTCACAGATATTCATTATTCACTACTATATATTGTGTTCAATTCACCGTATTCAATTCGATTGTATTCAAACAACAAAAAATCACAAAAATACAGTGATATTCGGTTGTATTAAAAAAATATAGACCTTCGGAATACATAAATACAAACAAAAAATAATATATTTATACAAAAATATAATGTATTTGAGTGTATTTGTACAGAAATCAATGTATTTGTGTCATTGTATGTCACTAAATAGCAAAGAAGAGAAGAAAGTTAGCGAAGATGGCGTTTTCCAGCCAAGCAAAATACTTTATACATTATAGGGGTGTACATGGACCGGGTTGGTTCGATTTTTATCAAAACCAAACCAAACCAACTATATCGGTTTGGATGGGTTCGGTTTTGTCGGATTTTCGGGATTTTTTATTACTTAAATATTATTTCAATTGTCACGATCCAAAATCCAACTAGTCGTGATGGCACCTAACCCAACCTGCTAGGTAAGCCAATTAACAACTATCCAATTCCAATAATATTAATAAGACAATTATTCAAAAGAAATTATCTGAATCTTATACATTTTCCAAGGACTAGTAGTACAAATCATGAGCTTCTAAGAATAGAGTTAACAAAGCTGGTATGAAGTAAATACATCATTTGTTTGAACAGTACATAAACAGAGTTTTATAAATCTAAGACTACCATGAACAAGAGGCAGCTACAACCAGAACGCAGGTACATCTTCAGATCCAGCTCCCAATGAACGCAGAAACATCAGCAGCCAATATCTGCACGCAAAGTGCAGAAGTATAGTATGAGTACAACCGACCCCATGTACTCAATAAGTAACAAACCTAACCTTAGGTTGAAAGTAGTGACGAGCTCGTATCAAGGTTAGAGTCCAACTTCCATAACCAACAATAGTTCATAACAATATAAAACAAGTAATACCCGAAGTAACTCAGAGATAAAATGCTCAATAAAATCATGATTTCTAAAAATAGTTCTGCCTTTCAAGTACATCAGTGAAAACCCAAATCATTTACCGAAGTTGCCAAAAATATGAGTAAGTTTGAAAACAATAATTTTTTCAAAAATCATTTCAATAATAAATAAGATGTCTTATTTTCTTTCCAGATAGCCAGTGTAAAACAAATGCATCACTATGCCCATATATCAACATGTGTGAGAAGTAATGAATGATGTGATATTGTACAGCATGAGAAAAATACTATCTATATACTTGTATGTCATGTGTGCATGTCAATGCAATGTATCTCAGAGATGAACTCATGTACTCACACTCTCAGAGTACTCAATCTCTCTTTCTCACACATTCCACTCATCATGCTCAATCACTTGGTACTATATATGGCCAATCCGGCCCAGAAAAAATCCATCCCGGAATATACACATCAACTGATCATCAGTCACTCAGTACCGAGTAGGGTCAATCCAGCCCGTGGAGAAGATCCATCTCCAGGTATATAATGATTCGGACAAGATTCATGTCCAGGGAAGATCCATCCCTCAATAATATCAATCGCGTTCACTAGGGGGTGCAGACTCCGGAGGGGCTCCTTCAGCCCAAGCGCTATAAATCGCACGGACAACTCATGTGCTGCACGGATAACTCGCGTGCTATATAAAGCCTATAAGGCCTGCTGCAGGCGGGCAGCCCCGATCCACATAATAATAAATTCAATCGAATTAAAAATTCAAGTATTCTTGACCATATAAAGTCTTTGTTTTGGGATCCTTCTTTATTAGTTTATCCCAAAAATTATTGTAAAAAGTCCTGTATAAGCATGAGACTTATTCTTCGGTGAATCCTACTTCTGGAGTCCATTTGTGAATCCAGGGAATAGAGAATTCCAGAAAGAAATAAATCTGATTAATTTTATCTGGGTAAAAGATATGATCCGTGTGATATAAGTTATTTATAAAAGGGAAAATTTTTATCCATTCTTTGTATAACCTGAGAAATGGATCTGGTAAAATTTTTACTGTCGGACTGTGGTATGACCACCAGTTCAAAAACCAATTAGGAACAGCCTCTGCAAATATCTTTGCACATACTTTAATAAACCAAGTATGTTTGTGTCGATCATTATTGTAGTATAACACTTTATCAAATGCTTGGATATAATTCCAATAGGTAAAATTCATTCTAGATTTGTTAAGGCTTATCTGCCTTTCTTTCATTATGGATATACCCCAGTCTTCAACAGATATAATATGTTTAATTATAATCTTCGAGAAGTTATAAACGTTCTCGTCTGTGCTATACCCAAAAAAGTGCTAAAAATCTGCACTGCCAGTACTGGTTAGTATTGTTTTATAATAGGAGCGGGTTTTGTATGACTCACCCGGATAATATAATCCATTTATTAAATACCTTTGGAATATCTTCCACAGCTCTTCTTTTCTCTAAATATCAGAATTTTCTAAAAGAAATATTATTTCTTTTTTAGAAACTTTCTCATATGACTTGATATCATCATTGTCATCTTTTGTAATGGAAGCAAAAGTATCATTTTGCTTAGCAGAAGTATCTTTCTGTTTTTGGACAGTCAAATATGCCTGCAAATGTGCATATAACGGACTATCTTCTGGAATATCTTCCAGATGGACGGATGGTCCGATCGATGATTCTTCTCTGAGAGATATCCTCTCATTGGTTAAACTCTTTCTTCCCATTTGTATAACTGGGGAGTTTGATGTGGATCCGTATGACGATCCTGAAGGTGATGATCTTCCTCTGGACTGTGGGGATGATCTTACCCAACTTCTACCTCTTCCTCTACCCCAGGGGGGTTCCATCCTGTAAATATTCACGAGATAAGAAATCTGGCAGAGAATTATCAATTCCCTTTTTATATTGTATTTCAAAATCAAAAGGAGCTAATTGAGCCTGCCATCTTGCAAATATCATTTTGAGGCATCATGTTTAAAGTCTTTGTTAAACATATATTTAACAGATTGTGCGTCAGTTTTTATCAAAAAATTTTGATGGTATAAGTCGCCTTGAAATTTTAAAATACATTTTACTATGGTTAACATTTCATGTGCCACAGTGGCGTATTTTCTCTGGGCTTCAGACCATTTACCATAGTAAAATCTAATCAGATATTCATGCTTATTATTGGGATTTATTTATTTTAAAATCCCTCCGTAACCAATATTAGAAGCATCAGTCTCTATAATCTTTTGCCATGCAGGATTAGCAAGGGTTAAGCAAGGTAAAGATTTAACACGTTGCTTAATATTTTTAACCAAAGTAGTATGACTATCAGTCCAAGAATTTTTATAATTCTTTTTTAGCCTATCATATAAGGGGGCTAAATCATGCGACAAATCTTTATAAAAAGGCGAAATATAATTTAAACTTCCCAAAAATCTTTGTAACTGAGTTCTATCAGTAATAATATCGGGAAATTTTGAAGCAAAATCAATCGATCATTGAATAGGAGTAATTTTTCCTTGACAAATATAATGTCCCAAAAATCTAATGTTTGTTTGGAATAAACTCATTTTTTGTTTTGAGATAACCAAACCATTTTGTATAACAATTCTTTTAAAAATATCTAAATGCTTAATATGCATTTCAAGTGTTTTGGAAAATACCAAAATGTCATCGATATAAACAATGATGAAGTCTAGATAGGGGTTGAAAATATCATTCATAATTTTTTGGAATTCTGAAGGGGCATTCTTCAAACCAAAAGGCATAACATTCCATTCATATTGCCCAAATGGAACATTAAAAGCAGTTTTATAAGTATGCTCTTTAAATATTTGAATCTGCCAATATCTAGATTTTAAATTAAATTTTGAAAATATATTGGCATCATATAATCTAGACAATAAATCACTTTTATTAGGAATAGGATACCTAACCCACTTCAAATATTTATTCAAAGGTTTATAATTAATGACCAATCTAGGAATACCACGTTCCTTTTCAGCTGCGTTATTAACATAAAAAGCTGTACAAGACCAAGGAGATTTCGAGGGTTTTATCAAACCCTTTTGTATCAAGCTATCAATCTCTTTTTTGCAAAATTCTACCAATTCTGCGTTCATCTGACAAGGTCGAGATTTAGTAGGAATATCATCCTCAGAAAAATTATCTTCGTATGGAAGAGTGACAATATGCTTTTTTCGATTCCAAAAAGCACTAGGATGCTC